GTTTTCCGTGGTTGATTTTATGTGTTCAAACGAACGCTGTGTGTGTGTGTGTGAACTTGATAGTCAACCGAGTGTCGATCGAACTACACAAAATCAGCAAAGGTCATAAATTGACCGAATCAGCCACAGACAAACAATGCAATTTGGCCCGATTGTGACCGAAACCGACAATATGCACTGCGAAAGCTTTGAATCATTGCACGTAGATGAACGTAGCTAAGAACAGAAACCACGCATATTGCTGTGGTTGCTATCACCATCTCACTTGTAAAAACGATGGCCAAGCAAAGACAATGTAAACAACTCGCACGAGAGACCAAAAGACAAAAGCAGCTTACCCGGTACCAAAGCATCTTGAGCATGCTTGTCTAGCGGTATAATGTCCAAATCGACTCGACGCAAACGTAGGTAGCTCGGTCCGTGAAGTTGTTTCAGCACCTTTTTTATGAAGCCAGCATAGTCTAGGGTGAAAATAAGAAATTAGGAAATGATGTCATCATTAATTCTCTAACCCATAAGCAGATTAAAGAGTGGTGAATAATAAGTTTAACACGACAACTAGAACAAGACAGTATAAATGCACGTAACAATATACCGTTCACTGATCTGCCTCAGGAAATGCCCAACATAAACAAGGGACAATGGTATGAGTGAAATGGAAACAAAATAAATAGTATTTTCTGAGGCATCATGGAAATTAAATAACTTTCTGCACAAATGAATGTTAAATACCCTGGACAGATTAAAAAAGGTATGATTTTGATTATAAGTAGATAAATTGGTAAACAGCGAGTATTTCAAACGAAAACCTAATCCCTATCTTCACTCAATGGGTCTTGATGCTTACCGTTGCAAATCAGACCATTTTATTTGAACAAGAAACCGCGGCTCAATGAGTACACACCAGGAACAGACAACGAAGTGCAAGATGTAGCAAATGAACAAACTCCGTGGTCACTGGCGAGCTAGGACTAGTTTTGAAATTTCGAGTGATGAACTAGGAAGGAAGTTAGAAATATGTGGTTGTGCTATTTGTGACCTTGTAGAGCGTTGAACAATGCGGGCATGATTGAGAAACATGTATAATGCGCGCATGAGAAGTTTGACAGTGATCAGCGAGGTTCGCTTCACTGTATTTTGCTGTACGATGAGATCTGGTTTCAGCTGACAGTCGTTTCGCACTTTAATTTTAATTACAAACTGTGAAGAATAGCAAAAGGAATAAACCCCCATTGAAATTAACCTACTGCTCACCCATTCCCATCAATGACTTAAACCCTAAGGTTTGGAATAAAATAAGATCGCAGAAGTGCAACACTTTCGGCAGGAAGGAAAGACTACAGCTCCCATTCGAACAACGCTATCTACGCCGCACTGCACGAATATGGCGCGGAAACCGGAAGAGTGGTGCAGTTTTAGGCAATCGCGTTCGTCCACTGGAGCAAGTGGTTGACATCCATGGGCTACATTTGTTGGGACGTGTTACGCGTATCACCAAATAGGNAAATAGGTGGCCACGGCGCACGATGTTTGCCGAGGCAGGAAGCATGAAAAACGTCAGGAATGGTCAAACTAAGACCTGGCATGCGAGTATGAAAACCCCAACAAGGACACTGGATAACAGACAATGCCAAGTGGTTTTGAAATAAACGTTGTCACGATGAGCGCCTGTGGCATCAGAGCAAAAAGGAGTAGATTTAGACTTCCTTTGGATGTAGACTTACACGATCCACGGTTCATGGGCACTCCGAAAACGATTGTTTAACAGGCAAGCTGAGGTAAACGGGCCGAATTGTGACTAGAGTCGTGATGATGCGCGCGCATACACACATGTGTGAAACCCGTCCTGTTATGCAGTTCATTTCATGGAACACAATCGCAAATCAGAACGAAAATGTTGTGAATTTATTGTCAATAGCAAGTTTTTTCCTTTAACTTGTTGAATACACCATGGTAAAGTAAATGTTCATGAGCGGGGCTGCGGACAAAAACTGTCGAGGAATGTACGGATGTGGGCAATCGCGATTGTGGCCTCAACCACTTGGCCAATGTCGTTGCAACGTGGTCGGAAAAGTCGAAGGGTAGGACAATGGCGGCGATATAATTTCGAGCATGGTACGGTCACGATGCACACAAATCAGTTGCCACTTGACTTAGATCTTAAACCAAGTGAATTCCTTGCTGCACCACACACACACAAACTAGTTGACTTGACCGTTCATAATATCAGAATGATTGCATTCCTTCCCCGATTTAGTTCGTCACGCTGATGTTTCAGCCGCCTGTCCCCTTATGGGTTCGTGCACTGGCGGACATCTGGCAACTAAATGATGAAGTGTTTGTTATAATAGTTGCAGTCTGGAGGGTTTGAGTGAGTCATGCAACACAATGGGCTGTCTGTGTGCATATATGCACGCGGCATTGCGACAGGTTGGCAATTCGATCTATTTGCTTTGGTGGACCCTCGGAATATTTGTGTCCGTCAGTTGACAGATGTCAAAGGAGGATGTTCGGAGCTGTGTGGAACATTCATTGCATGCAGCCTGTTACGTTTACCGGATGTAATGCAGGGGGTTTGTGTATGTGGAACGGATTTTTCCACCTGATGTAATCAATTAAATATGATTGCAGAACTGAGCGTAAGAATGGAGTAACCTGATTTGAACATCTGGATGCCGCATCAATGCAACTGAAGATGTTGCCTAGCCTGACTACGAAACGTCTGTGAGCTCTTCCAGTTCAGAGAACATACCAACAACAACATCCACATCCGGAGCTACAATCGTTCCACAGTATTTCTGCGTATGTCTTGTCTCCGTGTTCTCTGGCGACACATCTGAGTTTTTCCAACCATATGAACCCTCGAGCAGAAAAATTCCAGCTCCCGCGCACTAGTAAACTGACTCATTAAAATTCCACAAGACCCAACTACCTATATTCGATTTCATCGAAACGATAAACGATTTGAAGCCAGTGGTCGACCTCCATAGGGTACGTTGATTGGGGCATGTGCACGTCATCAAATTGGTTGCCACTGTGCGCGACCTTTACCGAGGCAGGCGATGAGTGGAAGAAAACCATGGGGGGGTCAAACTGATGCCTGGCATGAGGGTATGAAAATTCTAACTAGGAGACTCGGTCATATAGACCGCGTTTGGCTTC